TCTGAAGAATTTTACATTTGAACCCAAAAGTGGGAGTAGGTGCAAGGCGTCAAGTGCAACTTCTCTCTGACGTCTACATAGGATCTTAAAATAATTCTTCAGGTATAAATATTCATATCTATAGCAAATTTTACCCAAATAATGTGCCTAATATTTGAACTTATAACTTTTCAATATAAAATATGTACCAGGAGGTCCTTGTACATAGGACCATGTTAAAAAATGCTTTCAAAAAAATCTTGACTCATTAACCTTGAAGATACATTTGAACTCTTCCAATTTTAAGGTTGGAATAGTTCATAATGAAATTCCAGGGATGAATGAGTTAATTCGAAATTTTGGGAAACTGAACACAGAAGTTTAAAACCAAGCAACCCTATGTAATGTTAGGTTTTAAAAAGATTAGCAACCTGCACACACTTTTTGTATGGGCAACCAACATTTTTTTATATATATACTGAATATCTGCTTAAATGTTAGGTACATGACGGGGATATGTAACAGTAATAAACCTTATATGGAACAAGGATTATGATTTGGCTCGAGCATGTCACGATGTTGTACTTATAATAAATACAGTACTTCCATTGATTAAATCCAGTAAGAGTAATTACAGCAATATCTACTTCGAGGTGTGACTTCATCTGGCTGGTTTTAATGCAGATCTAGATGTAATCATGAATTCAACAACATCATGTCCCCAATATACAAGTCCTCTTCCAGAACTAAGTAATTGTCTATTTAACAGTGAATGATTCACAGAATCAAAATTTTCTGACTTGTTATCACAGATTTTCCATTGTTTAAGTATTTTTTCATGATATCTGTGTTCTAATGAACTAATAGGAGAGAAAAGCATAGCTGCACACTTCACTACCCAGCAGCAGTGTTCAGGTCTGTCATTTGAAATTTTAAGAAATATATATATATGTCGAGGGGAAATAAAATTTCTAAGATACTCGGCAACTGTCAGCATAAACATGTGCATGATCACCGATCAATACTTGACTTGTTAAAATCTTTTGCTAGTTCATTAGACCTAGACGTTGCATACTTCATTACTCGTAATTAAGAAGAAGCCAAATTCATTCATCTTTGAACTGTATGGATGTTATTTTCATTATTGATGGTACATTAAGGTAATGATCAAGAAAAAAAATTCAAAAAGAGAGATAATAACAGAAATTCCATCCCATATTTTCATACAAAAGTAAACACATTTAAATCACCAATCGCCTTTTAAGACCAGGACACGGTCAATGTTCTAGGAGAATTTATATTACGTTCTTGCAAATTAGGTGAAATTTTGCAAGATCTTCACCTTGTGAAGTATTTTAATAGAATTGAGTTATACTGTTGTATGATCTAATTCTTTCTGAGCTAAAATATGACTACACTTTTAAATAAGTATTGATTTTGTTTATTTAACAATGCTTTCTAAATAACTTTCTTCTTCCTAATGTCTCCCTTGACAATGCCTCACTTTTGGCCATTTGTTGAGCGTTCGCCCCTGTGAGGAAGGCTTTGGGTTCTGTCCCCTGGCCGAGACATACCAAAGTCTTTAAAAATGGTAGTTTATACTCCTGCTTAACGCTCAGCAAATTAGGAGTGGGACGACTGGTTCGCCCGTTGTCAGTATAATGTGACCGGGTGGGGCGTCCTGCTGGGTGTCTTCGGCAGAATGTTTCAGTGAGGTAGCACTATAAAGTCGGCATCAGTTTCGCGCTATCACAAGGAGACAAACACGAACATATCGCAGCCTCCCAAAATACACACACATACACTACACGCATGCATCTTGCACCCAGGGGAGGCCGTCCTTAAATGACCTTAGCTGTTAATAGGACGTTAAACAAAATCAAACAAACAAACAAACAAACAATGCTTTTAAATGCATAGTATGTGAACATTCTCTAAAGCAGGAAGAAATTGTGCAGATAAGGGGAATTTTAATCATAAAAAATATTGATTTTTTTTTCTGCTCATAGGAATATTTTAGAATGATGGGTATTCCTTTTGGAAATTAACCCAGAAACAGTTAAGAATTTGGCAAAGATTAATCTTTGTTTACTGTCACGAAAATAGCATGAATGTTATTTTCTGTACAAACTAAAAGGTACCTGTCCATATAAAGACTTGATTTTCTCTCTTCCCTATATTTGGACTTAAAAGAGGGTTTGACCATTATGCAAAATAAATCGATACTGATAACACACATCTAATCTCTCGACTTGTTTTACCTAAACATAGATTTATTTACAAAAGAATGATAAACAACATACCTATAATACTGAAAGTAAACTAAAAGCGTTTTAAGCTGTGTGGATGTTAAATATTTATAACTGTTCATAATGACATTCCTGATGATCGTGACATTGAACACGTTGGTTCCGTCAAACTGTTATTCTGTTGAATTATTGTGTATTATTCATCAAGAACAATCAATACTGAGATAGCTTTTGTACATGTGACACGGATGATTTCTGTTTGAATTCCTAATGTTTTACCTCTGTTTCTGGATGTTGACAGGAATAAATATTGAATCATTCTGATAATGGCTAACGAAATGTACCGATATTATATTTGTGTATATATACTGTCTTAGACTAATTTTATACAGAGTACACACATAGAGACTGGGTTTGGTGAGTTGATGGTGTTGTCCATGTGTGTGGTATGAGCTGGCTGGCAGCCAGGCTTTAGAGCTAGGCGATCAATAAATAGCCTTAGATGGAGATCTGTGTTGGCTTACTCCCTTCCAGTAGCAGGTGTGGCCATTTGTGGCCAGTATAGACTACAAGTCCCACCCATTACAACTCTTCACTGATTAATTACATCCCTGTTATTATTTTATCATGAACAATTAATAATTTCATATCTAGCTACTTTTGATTCTAGTTATTTCATGCAGACATCTACATGCACAAACATTAATATAGTAATGTACTTATTAAGGTAGTTAGATAAAAAAAAAATCCCTATAACAATGTAATAGGAGAGTATACGTATTGTGAATCCTGAAACATGAATTCAAATAAGTGTTGAGCTTTTCGGGATCACAAAAAATTGTGTTTGTTCCTTTGCAATTTCCAATTTTCATGGATACCTAGTTTGATATATCGTTTTGATAAAAAATATGATATATACAGTTGTGATAAAAAATATTTTCAGTAAGAAGTTTTTCGCAAATGAATAGTTTTGAATTAAAGTAAATAAAAGTAACCATCTTTAATTATGTACCAACAAGAAAATTATACTAATTCTAGCTGTGGACAAATGAAATTTATGCAATTATGAATTGTCTAGTGGACAAGGCATTAGTCAGCAGTGCACATATTAAATATCACTTTTTTCATTGCACATCATAATTTCTATTTTCAGAGCAAGTAATCTATTTTATTACTTATCAAATAAACAATTGAGAAGCAGAAGTCAGCTTCTTACACACACTGTAGAATGTAATTTTTGGACTAATACTCAAATCCACTTGCCCAGACTTATGTTTAGTGCTTCAAGTTACTGTAGGCTATTTTATGATAATTTAATGCATGTTTATATATAAGAAATATTTCAAAAGCTGTAATTTCCACGTGAATTCTTTTTTATCAAGTCTAGAACGTATTCACAGAGGAATTCCTGAGAAAACTAGCAATAACTTGAAGCTGTTGATGTCAGCAGAATATTCAGGAAAAATCAATTTTGAACACTACTCCAACTGAGGCTCTACTGCTTGTCGTTTGGCAAGGTCTAATATTGCAGGCATATAATACCGTCGTCTCATCGCAACTAGATGATCTTTATATCTACATAGCTCTGGGGTATCCTTTAATCCCTTGTCGTGAGTTTCAGATCAGAATTACGCTGAACTCTTCACCACTCTTCCTGATAATGATAACCACAATAATCTGTTACAGAGCTGTTCTTCTTATAGAGTTACTCCATGAACTACCGACTTATTTTTACTTCAGATAGAGAATTCATGGCTATTGACTTGTGTATATATATCAATTAAATAAATAAAAAATAAATATACAACATTTGAAATAGCGCCCTATCTAGCTAACATAAGCCACTCTAAAGCGCTTTACAGTACATAGATTAACTATTTTATACAGTCAATACAATTAGCATATATATATTAATCAATACAATATTGAGGAATTCACAGGAGCTGCCTTATCAGGCGCTAACTACTAGTCCTATGCCACCTGGCTAATATCTCACTGTGTGTATGCCTGTGTGTGTGCTGGAGATGAATTACTTCTGATAAAGAGTAGCAACAACTGAATGTTATATAAATGGATAGAAGGTTAATGGGACTATTGATTGTTATTTGTTTTTAAAAAGTTAGGACTAATGTTTATGATAGAGGATTTATTTCTAATAGAGGGATTTATATTATTATTCTTCTCATAATTAGGACCAAGGATTATTGTGTCTTACAGAGAGTTGGTCAGGACTATTCTCTCATTTACCTGTGTGTAAGATAGAGCTGTCCAGGCTAAGAAAGGGGTGTAGGAAATTTCTATTTTACACCAATTGATATTTTCAAAATGGTGGCCAGTCCAAACGCATTTTCATGGTTTCTGAGCTTATTTTGGTGATTGGAATGAGAAAAAAGGGTGTAGGAAAGGGATATTCCACCCTCGGGATTTTTAAATTTGGGAAAAGCCTCGGGTGGAATTTCCTTATCCTACCCCCCTGAGCATGAAAGATTCTTATATTATTGACTACAAGCACTGATAAAAGTTTATTAGAACTACTTGGTATCCATGCTGTTGCATAAAACATTTTTAAAAGTCTGCAAGTTTGCCTGAAATAAACCTAGCTGTTTGACCATTCTCTACAATAGTACGATTTCTGCATTAATCTTTTCTTTGCAGCAAGGAGATAATGAAGAAATGCTGGTTTATTGCATGTGTTTGTATTGATGTACAAAGATATTTTCCTATTGAATTAAATTAGTTTTTAAAAACGAATTTCCCTCTTTGTGTTTACAGGAGGCAAGGAAAGCTGCTGCTGATACCACTCTCAGCCAAGCTGCCTATGGCGTCGAACCTGTTGGACGGATACAGATGCGCACCAGGCGTACCCTTAGAGGTCACTTGGCCAAAATATATGCCATGCACTGGGCAACAGATTCTGCGTATGTATCATCCGTGAAAATAAATAATCTGAAATTTCCAAAGGAAGTGTTTTCATCTAGATAATATAATCTGGTTTGGTATAAATGATAATGACTACATACATGTATAAAAGTCATCCAGCTAATTTTAGTGAAATATCATCGTGTATTTTGTATAAATTTTGAACAAGGCTCTCAAGTCAAACATAAAAGGCTGCTCTCATCACAATAAAGCCAGGTTTAATAAATATTTTATGCTACAGACACAGTCCTTTATATTGCTAGTTTTAAAGGATTTGAGGGAGATAGTGAGATTAACGATCAGTCATAATAATTTTACGGTAACTACATCCTTCGAAATGAATATTGATTATAGAAAATCTCCATTGACTATGAGGCATGAACAACTTGACTTTATTAGTTTATCAGAACATCACCAGCTGTAGCGACTAGACATTGACTGGAAAACACCTCTTAACGGAAGCCACTAGACACTGAACATAGACTAAATTGATTGATCAAAACTCAAATTTAAAAAGCCCTGAAAAGGCGTTAAATTTGGTTTGACATGATCTGTATGAAGGTGTGAGGTGCTCCCATGCCATTAGATTCTTACCTCATTGATTGGTTCAAAAACACCACCAACTGGAACCCACAAGACACGGACTAAATCTTTTGATTTGACAATACTACTAGCTAGAGCCACTTGGTACATGACTAAATCTGCACTGACTAAATCTTTTGATACGACAATACTACTAGCTAGAGCCATTTGGCACTGACTAAATCTTTTGATTGAAAAACACTTAGCTAGAGCCACTTGACACGGTCTAAATCTTTTGATTGAAAAACACTACTAGCTAGAGCTACAAGACACTGTCTAAATCATTTGATTGGAAAATACTACAAGCTAGAGCCAGAAGACACGGACTAAATCTTTTGATTGGAAAACGCTACTAGCTTGTGCCAAAAGACACTGTCTAAATCATTTGATTGGAAAACGCTACTAGCTTGAGCCACTTGGCACTGACTAAATTGAAAGATCAGAAAATACAAATAGCTGAAGCGATTAGTTCTAAATTAATTTGTGGGAACCCTTATTTGGAGGATTTGTTCAAATATCTACTATTGATTGCAACATTCCTTTTGAAGTTAAAGCCATTTCTGACATTTGTTATGTGTTTCTATATAATGCCAGAATTTGAATTAAAAGTAATAATATGAACACTTTACTTCTTTACAGAAATCTAGTATCTGCTTCACAAGATGGTAAATTAATTGTATGGGACGGATATACTACAAATAAGGTGAGTATTGTTATTAGGTGCTAGGAATGTTTTACCTGTTAAACAATGGCCTGAAGCAGTTATAAATACACACATAAAGAAAAAATACACTGTAAAGAAGTCAGAAATGCCAAGAAGACATCAAGGAATAGAATCCTGTAGGAGTATCTTTTTATTGACTAATAAGATAATATAATAAGACAATACATTTTGTTTGGTTTAAAAGAAGAATTAATATCTGGTCTGTAAAATAAATGTTTTGTGAAATCTTTAAATTAAAATACCATGTTCAATTAAACTGGAAGAAAAAAAATGTTGATATCAACTAGAGGGGAGGTGGGGTTCTGAAAAAATGTGAATGATTGACACTATACAAGTTCATTGTTATTTAAACATGTCTCTATCAATTATTCACATCCTACAACAGGATATGGTTCATATGAAGTAATGGGGTACTTAGTACTGTACAGGGATGTGTAGCAATGTAGAACCTTTGTATAGGGATATTCTACTTAACATGTTCATATTTCAAAGACAGGGACAGCCAAATCATTAACTTAAATAATGAAACCAAGATTCACAAGAATCAATCTTCAATATATACAGATTCTGTCTTGCAGACAAAGTCAGGTTTGCCTTTGCTAGGATTTGAGTTTGAATTTACCTTAAATAATTCACTGATGTAATGTGATTCCGTTGTTTATTTTAGGTACATGCGATACCTTTAAGATCTAGCTGGGTAATGACATGTGCCTATGCTCCGTCATGTAGCTACGTAGCATGTGGAGGCCTCGACAACATCTGTTCTATCTATAGTTTAAAAACACGAGAAGGAAACGTAAGGGTCAGTCGGGAGTTGCCTGGACACACTGGTTATCTGTCTTGTTGCCGCTTCCTTGATGACAACCAAATAGTAACAAGCTCTGGGGACATGTCGTGGTATGTACCTACAGGACACCTGTCAGTGAGATGTTTCAACTTGATATTACTGTATACCTGGCAATTATCACTGCAGTTAACCTTTGCCTTTTTGCCCTAATTTATCGTTACAGCAAATTAATGTAGTAAACAACATAATACATAATAGTTAAAGGTGAATGGTGAAATTAAGGATTGGCAAATGGATTTTACCTGCAAAGGGCAAAATTTGACTAGCCTTAAATTTCCCATTATACAGTATAAATGATGGTATAAACCCTATATTTGTGTAGATTTCTATAATCAAAGTCACTTTCTAGATAGTCTTTTCTGTAATTGACATCAGTTTATATATACTTAAAAAAGTCACTTCTAATGATTTCTATATGTAAACAATTTAAAGAGAGAGACAAATTAAGTAAAATCTTTCTGGATGTTAGTGTGAATCTTAATTTATTAAATTCAATTCAGATTGTCTTGTTATATTGATTGGACTTGCTTGCATTTTGGTTATTCAAAATTAAAGAAAAAATCAGAAAATCTGAAAATAAGATGACTGTTTATTCATAAAGAGACTTTTTGATTTTGAAGCTACACATTAACCATGACAATCAATTATACAAATTCGCCCTGATGCAATCTATCAATTGAAATATTTTCTCGATTTTTCAGTGCATTATGGGATATTGAGACAGGTCAGCAGACAACAGCGTTCACTGGTCACACCGGGGATGTGATGAGTCTGTCCTTGGCACCAGATATGAAGTCATTTGTCTCGGGGGCATGCGATGCCTCAGCAAAGGTAAAACTTCAGAAAAAATATTGTTATCAGAGTTATTATAAATAAAATCAGAATTGATTTCAAGCAAATTTTGGCAGTTTTGCCAGCCTTTTAGTAAAAAATACATTTGACACATTGATTTCAATAGTGAACTGATTTTCTATTATGATTCATCATCAGCCCATCACTATAAATAACAATGATAATTCTTGCTTCAAAGGATGTTTTTTATAATCCTTAGTGAGTTAGTCTTGTTCTGATATACTAAAATAAAATGGTTGCCGGTAATAATGTCGCTCAAAAAATATATATAGCTAATTTATTGTGTCAAAAGATGATTCAGAAGTATTTGCTTATTGGAAGAAAAGAGTGAGTTGTGTATTGATGGTTTAAAGTTTACGACAGGTGTTGTACTGGTAAATGTAAGAATTCTTGGTGTCTTCAATCGTGATTATCATTATTCAAACTGCAGGCTGCAGTCAAATATGTAATATTCACTGCAAACACAGAAAGCAAATGTCAAAAGTCGCCATCGTCACTTCCTAGCTAGACTCCAAGCTATTTGGATCCTTGTATGGTTATGCCTGGATCGGTCGTAGCTCATATGTTTGTAAGCACTATTATCTGTATCTGGTTGTGTATATTTTAAAGGATTTTTTTTTTTAAATCTCGAAAGAATTCAATTTTTTTTAAATTATTTACAGTTATCTTTGGAATTTAGTCTTGATGACTGATGACTTGGAGTAAACTCCATAAACTCCATAAATTTGTATACCAAAACTTTGCAGCAGTTTAATTAAGTACGCTCGTGTTTTAACTTGTGTTACCTGCATCTTTGTCCACAGCTATGGGATGTCAGAGATGGAATGTGCAAACAAACATTTTCAGGACATGAATCTGATATAAATGCAATCACTGTAAGTATATTATCAACTTGACCTACACTAATATGTTTGTCTGATTAGGCTCTTGAGTAGGACTACAGTTAATACTGATTGCCTATTAACTTTTGTTGTGGTGCTTAAAGGAAAGGTTCTCGTGAAACAACTATCTTTAGGCTATATTGTGCTTATAGAAGGAAATAACTGATCCAGTACAACAAGCTTCAGACCATAGTGCTCTATCTACATAGCAGGAAATAGATACATCACAACAATCTGTGGCCCTAGTACTCTAAACAGAAGGAAATCATTCATGGCTAAGCTACAAACAGTGTTAACACAGACTGTCTGACCACTACACTATTGTGGATCATAGCAGGAAATAGATACATCACAACAATCTGTGGCCCTAGTACTCTAGACAGAAGGAAATCATTCATGGCTAAGCTACAAACAGTGTTAACACAGACTGTCTGACCACTACACTATTGTGGTTATCTATGTAATATGAATAGAACTTGAACTATTACTTCCTGTTATATAAATTGGTGACAATTGGAGTTTAATTGGTGCAAAACATTAGCACTAGGCAGTATGTTGTATTAAAAGATAATAGTAGATTGTGTCGTAAATTTTAGTACTAAGTAAATTAAAATGATGAAGTAATTTAATTGACTTACAGATGCAGACATACACAACAATTGACGTAATTGTAGTCTGTTGAAATATGGCTTAAAATTGATGTCATTGTCTATATATATGTAAACAATGAAAAGGTATTTTAAATGTATTGTGTTCATCTAATTTTCATTACCTAAAAGTTCAAACTTTGATAACTTTGTTGTTCTGAATCTTGTATTTGATTTGTTGCAATGTACACAAGGAAACTTTGAATGTGTTTATTATTTTGCAGTATTTTCCGCACGGTTACGCATTTGCAACTGGGTCTGATGATGCCACATGCAGGCTTTTTGATATCCGTGCTGATCAGGAAATTGGCATGTACTCGCACGACAATATCATCTGTGGTATTACGTCTGTGGCCTTCTCTAAGTCAGGTCGTCTGCTCCTCGGTGGTTATGATGATTTCAACTGCAATGTTTGGGATGTCCTAAAGCAAGATAGAGCCGGTAAGTTCTGCTTCTGTTTCTAATGCAATATGTACTTCTGGGAATCAGTGTCATGATGTTTAACTCTGACCCCTTTGTGTTACCTGGAAGTGGGGAATGTCCACCTGTGTAGCTACAGAAGGAAAACTAATATGTTTTATTGATTGCTCTGTCTTTAAGCAAATCAGTATATTGAAAGCCTGTTATTTTGAACGAATTAGATTATAACTGAATTCTTTTAGAATACTGAAACTTGGTAGGAATGATCAACTTATGTTCTTGACAAAGTGTTATTTTTTGGGTCAATCAGAAATCCAATATGGCCACCATTTTGAAAAACTATTTCAAACTTAAAGTCAAGTTCTACTAGGCCCATTTAACTGAAACTTTGTAGGAATGATCAACTCATGGTCCTGGCAAAATATTTTTTTCATGTCAATCAAAAATCCAATACGCCTGCCATGGCTGATATTTTGAAAAAAACATTTAAAACTTAAAATCAAATTCTGATAGACAGTATTAACTGAAACTCGGTCTAGGAATGATCAACTAGTTGTCCTGACAAACTTAACTTAAAGTCATGCTTAACCGTTTTTTACTCAAATTTTGGTAGGGATGGTTGACATCATTATCTCCACTTCATATTTCAACAACAACAAAATAATACTGTAGGACGCAGGTGACCGTTATGGCCCATGGGCCTCTTGTTGAAAAAGTACATGCTTAAAATTTATATACGACTTTTTAATGGCAGTGAAAAGTTTGCACAGCTTTCTAATTTAGGTCTTTCATTATTCCATACTCAGAATTTTGTGAATGCTCACATGGTGCATAACCAAACACTTCTTAAAATTAAACTTTGAAAGTTGGACATTTACATAGAGGGGGCACAAAAAGTCCCAGAACAGGTAGCAGTAGCAGCTGGTGATTTGACTAAAATGCTGACCGTCCGGTATATCCCTAACCCTATAAAACATTGTATGTTAATACTTACTTTTGTTTGTGTACAGGAGTGCTAGCAGGTCATGACAACCGTGTGAGCTGTCTTGGTGTCACAGAGGATGGAATGGCTGTCGCCACGGGATCCTGGGACAGTTTTCTTAAGATCTGGAATTGAGCCAAGTATTAGTTAGCCCATCCGAGGGGAAATATACAAGACTTATTATTTATATCTTAAAACTCATGTGCCCGTGTTATATGGGGGAAAGTAACAGTGTATTCACACCCATTATGGAAACTATTGTTTTAACAGCTGCGAGGATAAACAAACTTGTGGTTAATCTTCCTCTTTTTTTTTTTGTATTATCATTTAATTTTTTTATGATGGAAAAAAAAAAACTGAATAGGAACTAACTTTCCACGGGACATAATGGATATTTTTATGGGATGGATTTACAGAAGTTAGGTGGAAAGTGTCACGAAACAGTTGACACTTGGTGTGAAGAGCCCACTGGGCATAAAGTGTAAGGGAGGTGCCGTGGTATATGTGCATTTACTGATGGGCTATTCTAACTGGCATCTGAAGACCAGCATTTGTTACCAAAAACAAATGTCAAATCAAAGAACTTGAAAAAATGACTGGTTCCCATGAAACAAGGCCGAGCTAACAGTACATCAGAATATATCACAGCTCATGACATCATATAAGCTTTCTTGGAAGAAAGATCTTGTGTATAAATAATTATTACAATATATTCCTTGTCTGTGTGTGTTACAGCAGGGGGACCATTTCATCTAAAAATGGGCCCACAAAATCTATTCCCCGTATAACAAGCCGTGACTGAGGTCGGACTACGTGTTCCGTAACTCGACCTTACATGTCTGGGATCGTTCTAACGCTTAGGTGACTGCGAGTGAGGAACAGCTAACGACACATGTGGATTATGATTGTGATTTTGTTTTAAACATTTCATGTCCTCTTTGTTCAATCATGCAAGTGCTCATTGATGACGAAGTCTGCATATAAATGATTGACTGGTATCTTCTATAAATGCCTCCAGAAATTACTTTAATATGGTGAAAATGGTGTGTTTTTTTCTGAAAATATCAAATTATTAATTTAAGAAAGAAAATAATTGTTTTAGAAGGTTATACAGAAATCAAAACTAGTTCTATACTTTTTCTTCTGGTAAGAATTTAACCTGAGCTTATTACCTAGATGTATATAATTGGAAGTGATACAGGCAGGGTGGGTTTTATGTATGCGTGATGAACTTGTTGATGCATGATATATGATATTTATGTATATGTAGATACGAATGTATTTCATTATAAACTAGTATTGTCTTCTATTTCGAAGGTTTTAGTGCAATGAAAAATGAAAAGATTAACAACATACAGCATGTAAATGCCTGTTAATGTTTCTTTTCTCAATTTCCCTTCCCTCTACCCCAGTTTGTATAAAACTTGATGTTTTCACTTCTCAGCTTTGACATGGTCTACACATTGATGTATATATAGCAGTGACAAAGCTGCTGGTATTTAACTAACCTACCTGCCTTTTACAATGACGTGACGTCTGAGTATCAAACAGTTGGATTCAATTAAAACATTTTGATCGTGAAAACATACTGCTATCTCCAAAGGAACAAATTTTGAAGAAAAACCTCCATACAGTCTGTGGGGTTTCCGTAAGGTATCATTAAACTGGACCTATGTGAAAGTTACGTGGCCTTGCTTGCTGTTTGTACATGTTTGTAGGTCCTTCTAGAATTCGCTTGCACTTCAATTTTATCAAATCTGTGTTATTTGGAAATGGATTTAAAAGACTGTGGAGCTTTGTAAGGCAATGTGTGCGGATTGTATATTTGCCTGTTTCGTAAAAACCAATGTTCAGCATTTCCTTACAGGGAGTCTATCCGAACTGTGGTCTTGATTTGAATGTTATTATTGAGCAAATGTTCACAAACCAGCCATGCCAACAAAGTACATGGGGCTAAAAAAAATCATACAAAAAAATGTGTTCTGAAATGTTGTATATTCAATTGTACTATCTGGATAGCATGTTGCACCTATGGATTGGGGTGCATGTTGTTTCCAAGTATATATATATATACATAATTATTATTTTTTTTCCTTTATTTTTTTTTGTTGCGTTTTCTCTTCAAACATGGCAAAAACTGAATGAAAGAAAGCGCACATCTCTTCCGTATAACTCACCAGTATCAGGACCCTGATACAATATAGTAATATATGTCAAGCTCGGCATGGAAAGGGAGCGAGAATGAATGGTCGTATGAATGTTTGCATTTGGTGGTATAGGTAAAGTGAAAGCAATCTGACCCATGATCCTGTCTGGGTCAGTCTGATGCTTGTGTATGATTATTTACAACCCAGATTTTGGTCTTCAAGGTTAATAGGTCAGTCAATCTTAGTCCCTTGAGTGTTTGTATTGCAACATGTGCAAGTGTAACTTTTTATTTTCTTGTGACAGATGTGTGTGAACTGATGCATGTTGAAAATGTAGATAGACTTTTATCCTGAGGATTTTCAAATATTTCTTCTAACAAAACAAATTGCTAGACCAAAATTTACTGAATCATATACAAACAACGTCTTTTCAAGATAATTCATTTCATCTACTTGTAAACATTATACATAGAGAGCATAGGTTGATGTGAATTTTTTAGTACTGACTATTCTCTCATTTCGTTTTTATAGATATTTTTGTTCTTTTTTTTTCTTACAAATTCCAGAACAAAAAGTACACAGATTTAGTTTTCCTTTCAGTGATGCTAAATCTGTAACTACTACTGTCAAGATAGTACAGGGATGTCTTTTCTGATTCAGTGATACTAACCTGGAGACCTAATGTGAAATGTAATGGTGAACAGATTTTTTTTCCTATAAGAAAACTGCCTATAAACTATTTATTGCCAATAGCAATGCCTGTCGTTCCTAGAGATAGATACAACACAACACCTACTGTCTGTAAGGTTCAATTACTTCGGTTATCAAATGCCCTCAATGCCATGCTCTAGCGGCTCCTCTGTAATCCTCAAATATAAGGTTTCTTCCTAGTTTTGGCAGGTCATGTACATAGATACTGTACCAATACACCAACAGGAAGTGTTCCTGTTCAAAAAGTAATCTAAAGATCGAATTCTACTCATTTACCGATGACCTCAGATTTAAAAACTGCATATGTTAACGGCAATACGTAATTCACTATGGACTCTGAAGGTACAAGGGGCGTGATTACTGAAATAATTATCTTGGAGATGAAGAGTTCGGACTACACTAGCCGTTGGACTCTGGTGTAACAGTTGTGTTAGGTGGACAGGCAGGTTCCTTTCTTGTCCTAGTGTAAACGTGATGTGTGCTAGATATATCTCACCATCCGCATCTGTGTGTCTATTTGAACTAGTCCTACACATTAATTATGAATATTATATTGTGAAAATTATCTGTCAGTGTCAGTGTAACTGTATTTTTCATTTGTCAATAAAGCTTTTTTGTCATTAATTATAACGGTTCCTCCTTATTTATTTACCGTTTTGAGTTAATCGTGTATGCCGACTCAAATCGTTACTACGCATTGAAAACATTTGATTTAAACATGCGGTATGGATTTATATTCAAAATTCGAAAAGGAACGCAGAGTAGAAAAAACCACGTGCAGATTTCCTAGACCATGTACTTTAAAAAAAAGAATACCCTTAACCGGACACGCCCCCCTGGTAAACAGGAAGTCCGCTGACGGATTCGCCCAATCTATAATTAATGTATAAAGTGGTTATCCATATCCTTCAGATTATTGATATGCCACACATTCAAAGTGACGACTTGTTGTAATTAATAAGATAAAAAAAAAAGTAAGGGGGGTTTAGCTTCCATGTCCACCAAGATTGTTTTGAAGAGAGGGTCACTTTCTTACAACAGAAACTGCACTACATCTTTTCGGCGTCAATTGTAGCAACAAAGTGTTATTAGTATTGCCAACTTGTATTTCACTCAAAATCGGACGATTTCGTCATATAGAAACACCATGAAATATATCTTTTTAACGTGGTAGTGATCAAAGTTCTGACGAGGGTATCCCGGGACATGGGCTATTGCATAGCTTACGGATTATTTGATTACTATTCTATATTAAAAGGGCAAGATTATCAATTGAGTTCAAATATACGACCTTGGGTTAGGTACAAGGTCATCAAGATTAAATTTATTTAAATCTTGTTTTCTGTTGAAATTTCCAGCCTAAATATTACAAGGCTGACTCTTGGAGGCAAATACAAAGTAAACGTTATACCGATGTTGACTTGCCGATACAACACCTGTTGCTTTTGTAGACTAGTGGCCAGGCTATCGAAGTCTTCACTGGTCTCGTGAATCCACACAGTAACTGAAGTCTCAACCAGTGACTAGTCTTGTGAGTCCAACCCCATTGCTGATATATACACCAACACATTGACATTTCGTTCGTGTATCAGACATCCTTATAAAGTCATCATCAACCATAGGGCCAGCTTTCCCTTTTCGATAGGCTTTACACGGCTGTATCATGTTCCAGCAAATAAGTCAAAATCTGCTGATCGTTTAAACAGTGTCTTTCCGGCAGGTTATGATTCACGTGTGGTCAGAAACTGGGCTTGTCTGACACTGGTAGCCTTAGAAGTTCAGAGGCGACCCTCAAGGACAGTTAGAAACGAACGTCAGCGGAAGCTATTGGCGATTCCACAAGGAGTTGCATTATATAAGTGATGAATATGCGTCGATATAGAGTTGTCTATATATTCCTGGCCATGAGTTTGTAATTAAGTACCAAGTTGGGTTAAAATCGCCCTATTAGAATTTCAATTTAAGTCGAAAAATCCTGATATATCAGGGGTTACTCTAATAACTAATTGACATTGTCTGCAGCTGGTCAACGATAAAATTATGGCCCTACTTTCTTACTTTTACGTAGTATTTGTCTCGCTAGCTGTGACTGATCAGCAATATGGCCCATACTGTCTTAACGTTTGTGTAGTATTTGTCTCGCTAGCTGTGACTGATCAACAATATGGGCCATACTGTCTTAACATTTGTGTAGTATTTGTCTCGCTAGCTGTGACTGATCAACAATATGGCCCATACTGTCTTAACATTTGTGTAGTATTTGTCTCGCTAGCTGTGGCTAATCAACAATATGGGCCATACTGTCTTAACGTTTATGTAGTATTTGTCTCGCTAGCTGTACTTGGCCATCAATATGGTCCATACTGTCTTAACGTTTGTGTAGTATTTGTCTCTCTAGCTGTACTTGGCCATCAATATAGACCATACTATCTTAACATTTGTGTAGTATTTGTCTCGCTAGCTGTACTTGGCCATCACTATGGGCCATACTGTCTTAAGATTTGTGTAGTATTCGTCTCGCTAGCTGTACTTGGCCATCAATATGGGCCATACTGTCTTAAGATTTGTGTAGTATTTGTCTCGCTAGCTGTACTTGGCCATCAATATGGGCCATACTGTCTTAACGTTTGGGTAGTATTTGTCTCGCTAGCTGTGACTGATCAACGATATAGGCCATACTGTCTTAACGTTTGTGTAGTATTTGTCTAGCTAGCTGTACTTGGCCATCAATATGGGCCATACTGTCTTAAGATTTGTGTAGTATTTTTCTCGCTAGCTGTACTTGGCCATCAATATGGGCCAGACTGTCTTAAGATTTGTGTAGTATTTGTCTCTCTAGCTGTACTTGACCATCAATGTGGTCCCCACTGTTATAGGTTTGTGTAGTATTTGTCTCGCTAGCTGTACTTGACCATCAATGTGGTCCCCACTGTTATAGGTTTGTGTAGTATTTGTCTCGCTAGCTGTACTTGGTCATCAATATGGGCCATACTGTCTTAACGTTTATGTAGTATTTGTCTCGCTAGCTGTACTTGGCCATCACTATGGGCCATACTGTCTTAACGTTTGTGTAGTATTTTTCTCGCTAGCTGTACTTGGCCATCAATATGGGCCATACTGTCTTAACAGTTGTGTAGTATTTGTCTCGCTAGCTGTGACTGATCAACAATATAGGCCATACTGTCTTAACGTTTGTGTAGTATTTGTCTCGCTAGCTGTGACTGATCAGCAATATGGGCCATACTGTCTTAACGTTTGTGTAGTATTTGTCTCGCTAGCTGT